TAAATTAAGGTATCAACAAACCGCTAATCATTAGCAATTAGCGAAATGACAAACAAAACCTGAAGATGTATTTACAAATATTTATTGTTTGGATTATTCGGAGTGATTACGAAAGCTTAAAGATGTGACATCTAGACCAAAAAACTTCCGGCGAGAAAGACGGTGTTTATAAAACAAAGAATAATGTTTACTTAAAATAAACGGGGACAAGATAGCGGCTAAGAGGATATTAAATTAATATAATAACAATAAACAAGCTCAGAAGACGAAATCCTTTTAAAACCAAGATAATCGGTTATGAACTACATAGATAAGACGCTTATTTTTTAAATAAAACTAAGCAATTATGATAGTTAATGACAGAATTTGCCTAAAACGTCAATATGGTAAAAAAGTACATAAGTTCAAAACTAAATTATTTTTGAGCCAATTATTGTTATTATTAAATGTAACAAATTGGTACAAAGATTCCTCAATCCAGGGTAAGTGAGAGGCGTCATCAACTAAAATCATGAAGTAGTCTTACAGCTTTTACTTTCGAAAGATGAATAAAGAACTCATCATAAAATATCAAACGCAATACGTCAATTACGGTATGACCAGTTTTTTCTCAATTTGTTTAAAATGATTACAATTTGAATAAATTAAAATTTCAAATCAAGACTTACACTTTGACTTAACTCTTTTGAAATTTTTAATTTAATTTCTAATTAATTTAATTTTAAACGTTTTTTTGAAGAGATTTATTAATTAAAAAGCTTACTCAAGAGATGATATGATGAAATTAAATGTCTACTCAAGATTTTAATGCAGTCCCCGTCAAGATGGTAAAGGTAATTTAAAAATAAGAATTAAACTTATTCACTGAAGATTACATATACATACTAAATATAAGTATAATTTTAACACATTCATAAGCAAGCCAAGATCAGCATTTTTTCTTTTGCATTGATTAAATCCACGAATTTCAGTTTTTATTATTACATTTCAAAGAATCTTAAAATATTCTTAACAAGACATTCACAAATTATTATATTTAATCTAGAATGTTAACATGAAATGTAACAAATGATAAAATCATAACTTTTTACAAACCAAAACAAAAGGTATTTAAATTTTAAAATATAAAAATAATTAAATAGTTTACTATTTAACCCTCGATAGACCAAATTTTTGTGCTACATCCAAAAAATTAGGGGAACAAAAGTATCTGAAACCTTATAGTGGCGAGCATAGCTCACTTGGTAGCGTGTTCGATTCACACGACAGGGATCTTTGGATCGAATCCTCTCATTGACTTAGAATTTATAAAAAAATGTGTGTAATTTGAAATTAAATGAAAATTGTATTTGTTAAGTAGAAATTGAATAAAAATTAAAAAAAATAGAAATTACAGAATTCGAAAAGCTGATTTGTATTAGGAGTAAGAAGAAAAAATATCAGAATGTGCTGAGATTAAAAAAGAAGTATGAAGAAGAAAAATGGAATAAAGATAGAAGTTGGATAGAATTAGGAATTTGATAGAAAAAAGAGTTTATATTTGCAAACGGAAAACAAAAAGTTCTGTTTAAACCATTTTTTTCGGTTTTAATAAATTATGCAACTATCGAGTCACATCGCCAATAATGTTTCACAATTCTGTGTATGAAGATATTATTTCAGATTGGAAGGCCTAGTAAAGGCCATAAACATAGTTATCAGTTGGCATGAAAGCCATAATTTTTGGGAAAATATCCAAAAATTTGAAATTGACCTGAAAGTTATGCAGAGGGTAAAATACACAATTTTCAGTATCGGATTCAAAGAAAAAAAAATCACGTAGCATTTGAAGTATAAAATATAATTACTTGTTTCAAATTTTCTAGTAACACTTGTATCATTGGAAAAAAACTCCAATGCCTTTTCACGTTTGGTATCATCTATTGAACATATTTACAGCAAATTTTCAAGAATCGTATGTAAAAATCAAAATATATTAAAATTTAAACATCAACAACATAAATTTAATCTTTACAGAATTAAAATTGGATTCAATTGTTCAATAACTAATTGTTTTCCATAGTCAATTGCCTATTGAAACAATTACTAGAATTTCTTTTTATCTATTTATTTATTTTTATTTATTTGTAATTCATTTCTATTGTTTTTTATTTTTTTATTTTTGTCTGTGAATATTATAATCATTATTTTTATTTTCCGCTATTTAGCCATATAACTCATAGGGCCTGTAAATAATTCTGATTGTTATATAATATGGTATGAATAAATAAAAAAAAATCAATAACTAATATGATAAGTCATATTAGATATAAGCATTTATAAATAAATATAAGTATGTAATTTTTATAAATTTTACTCTAAATTATGTAGAGCAACCATAGACTTTGTAATACAAGGTAAAGTTATTATAAGGTCTATTGGTGCAACAATTCGTTTTGTATAATAACAAATTTGTTTTTAAAACACACCTTGCCCAATTTAATAAAAAAGTAGAATTTTTTATAAGAACTACCAATTATTATAGATATATTTTAGAGGAAATATATTATTTATATCAATTATGATTTAGCAGCTTACTTCAAGAAGCTAAGATTTTCTAAGAATGAAATAAGAATAGGAATAAGATTTTCTTAAAATGAGTAATTAGTCGAGTTAAATGTGTGTATATAAAACAAGACTTCCTCTACGTAAATAATTATGTAACTTAATGATCATTTCTGTATTTGTCTTCGCGTATGATTGTTGCGAGGAACGAAATAAAACGAAAAAAGTAAGAGTGCTTTCACCGACTCTGAAAGTTAGCTTTATCGCCTATTATGCAACATCTCTCTTTGCATTACATACATTGAGCACAACGCGCTATATATAATATTCGTGACGATAACTACATCTCAATAACTATACTAGTTTACAGTATGGGAAAAGACTTATGACAGTAGATATGCTAATAAGAACCAGTGGGGCATTGGAAAATGTATAATAGATATATTAACAAATTACAATATTATAGAAATATTAAGAAATTTTATAATAGATTAACTCCTGGGGTGCATGGCATCGTGAATTAAGGCAAATTGCTGAAACTTCCCGTACCGTAATTAAAAATCTTGGTACGAAACCCAAAAAAATTACACAAAATGTGTACACATTATTAAAATATCTGATAATTTGATGTACATATGTCCAATAAACATTTTTGACCGCCAAATGACATTTTTTTTTAATCATTTTTATTGAGAGTCCATAACCGCTGGACCTGCCTTTGCCAAAAACTAATCAGCACGTCTCCTTATCAAAACGAATCGAATGTTTTTTGAATTATTCAAATCGGTTGATCGGTGTTCCCGAAATCGTCGACGAAAATTTGTATCCGCACACACACACATCCATATTTTCTAAGGTATGTCAAAATCTTCAGAAACCTTTGAAACGTGAAGATATATAAAAACATTCATTTTTATGCAATTTTTTTTGTTATTACTATAACTTACCCTACGGGAAATACAAAATAGTTGGTTACAATATTCAATTGCCTCAAAAGCTAGATACACTCAAAATTTTATGGAAAAAACTGATTTTAAATAATCAATTTGTATTTTCTGACTTTGCATAGTAAGCACTGTTAAACGAAAATTTACTCTTAAGATTTAATTTAAAAAAAATTAAATGTCCTAAACAAATTTTTAAAATAAGTATTATGACGATTAGTGATATATATTGGAGTATTAAAAATACGAATTCGAATATTACAACTTAAACAAAAAAATACATAATAAACATTATTGAATCATAAGTAGTTTATAAAATTACGTATCGCAAACATCAGTATTACGGCTTGAGATGAAAGTAAAAGCATAAGAAAGCAGATATTTTATTTGCTCCATGCCGGAATGGAAATGTGCTAATTACACAAACATTCATTATTTAAACTGAACGAACTATGTAATATTCTTCTATATATAAATAAATAAAAAAAATATCAATTGAAAAAGATACTTATGAACAGAGATAGTAAAATGTAGTACGCGAGTATAAGTTAGGCATTAGTCATCAACTATTAAAATAAGAATTATCACTGCAGGTGATAACAGGTAACTACAGAAGACAAGTAAGATTTCAATGTATAAAATTTGGATGAAGTAATTATTTAGAACCCTAATTTAAAATTATTGTAGCCAATACATTTTTTTTATTCATTACATATTATATATGAGTCAAAGTTGTTTACAGATCCTATGAGTTATGTCTAAATTACACATAATAATAATAATAATAAAAAAAATAATAATCACAAAAAGAAATAAAATAAAAATGAATTACAAATGGAGAGAAATAAATAAAAAATAATAATAAAAAACAAATTGTAATTGCTCAAATAACCAATTGACTATGAAAAACGATTGTATCCAATATATAAAAAGTAAATTATTACTCCAAATTGTAGTAGCTTCTAAAAGATTTGAAGGTCTGAGTGAAACTATAAATTTCTCATCATACATATTGTTTTCCAGAAGTATTTATTTGGAAAGAAAAGAAATCACTATTGAATCAAGACAAGAATGAACAAAAAAAATTAGAATGTAATTTACTGTTATAACCACTTGAAGATTTTAAGGGTTTTTTGTTTTAAAGATAAATGAAATAAATCAAGGACTCGATAAAGATAATCCAGCAGAAAAAAAACTATGCATCCAATTCCACAAAATCGAAGACAAAAATACTTAACCGATATCTTTCATAAACAATCTTATTTGTTGCATTATTATTTATCCAATCCAGATAATTATTTAATGCCACTTCAAAATAATCATTAAAAATAATCAATCATATTATTATTCAATAATAATTCGAATTACATATGCTGTTCGAGTAAATAATTTAAAGAAACATTTGACCATATGTTCATTTGATCATATATCAAATTATTTTATCAATAGTGCATGTATATATATATATATATATATATATATATATATATAACTATGAATTAGAAATCTTACCTCATTTGTATGTCTTCAATTTAGCATAACTCGTAAAAAAAATCTTCAGCCTCCTCGCACACTTTGTATAGAATATTGAATATACTAGTGTTTATACAATATCTCAAAATTTAAATTCACAATACTTTTATATAATACTTATTTTAAAAAAAATAAAAATCAATACTTAAAAAACAAATTCTTTCTTGCTTAAACACTAGCCAGTCTTTTGTAAAAATGCACAGTCCTGAAAATAGAAAGAAATCAATTAAAATATTGATAATGGTAGTAAAATATAAGTAGAAACAGCTGAGTCAGTATGGAATATAAAACATAATCGCCTTGAATCCAAATACTCGATTAGTTACTTACAAATGGTTTTTAATTAAAATGTTACTAATAATATCACAACTAACTGGGAATGCTCAAATTATCAAAATATGTAATTAAGTCTCAACTTTAAATAATATTATGATTGAAACCACAAATAGAAAATATACAAATATTTCAACAGCTTATTTGAAAAACAAACAGACAGACTGTGTATGAATTGTACAGATTATTTAAAGAACAATATCACATTTGTTTAAAGAAATCCGATATAATGAAATCGCGATAAGGTTTGAAATGCAATCAACTGATCATATTTGCAAATCATATATTTAAAAATATCCATCCATGATAACATTTTTAACGACGTCGGGAAAATTCTAAATCTTGTCTCATTACATTCATATACATATGTACACAGAACATTCAATACAAAAAGAGAAAAAAAAAAATTTTTTGCATATAATGCATAATCGATTTTTTAAAAAAAATTATATAATGTATGCATGTATACATGTATGTATATATAAATCTCTTGTCTTTGTAAAAATAAATATATTTCTTTATATATAAATATATCTGTATGAATAACATACAGGTTGTAACTTACACATCCTTAGTCATATGTGTTAAAGATAAACGTTCTCAGTAACAAGAGTTTATTTAAAAACATATTTGATAAACGAAAAAGCAATAAAATCCATAAATCCATAGAACATATAAATATATTTAAATCAGTAGAATATTTAAAAAGAATCTGCCGCGAATTGATGTTAATCTAACGTCATTAACTCATGAGTAAGTTAATAACTCAATCCAAGAGAGGTGAACGAACAATAAAGCACATGTACAAACCATAAACTAACAAACGCCATCGTAATGAAACATTTAATAAAAACTAATATAATCATGAATTAAAAGCAATATCAATTTTAGCAAAACGTTCTGTAAACCATCGAGACAAAGGATGTCGATGCCTAATCCTCTGCACACGTCAAAACGAGCAACAATTACAAGCCGATCGACATAGCCGATTTTTACACAGAAACACACAAACAATTAAATATTATACAATTATCTAATTACTCACATTTGATTAGATCATTATTTGGTACAGCCTCACATAGATTATTCACAAAAACGCGTTTCAAAACTAGCAATCCACGGGCAGCTGTCATCGAATGACGCCGCCTGTACAATGTTTGGTTTGTGAGGTTATAATGCCATAATGGCGGCCAAACATCGTAACGGGTGCGAGAGGGCCCGCGCACGTGGTGTGAGATAGACGACAGGGGCGCAGCCGAGAGCGGGGACGGTGCAGTTTAACGACTCCTTACGGAGATGAGGGCGCGGGAAATTCAAATTTGAGAAGTAAGAGTTGGGACAGAACATTCATGAAAGTGACGCTGTGATTTAAAAAATGGACTGTAGTAATTTTATTAATAATGTTTAATTATATTAGATGCAATCCTTACGCCTACATTGAGACATAATGGAACGTAAAAAATGGACATGGAAAATTTGGGAAGTAAGTGTTGGGACAGAGCATTCATGAATGTGACGCTGTGATTTAAAAAATGGACTGTAGTAATTTTAATAATAATGTTTAATTGTATTAGATGCAATCCTTACGCCTACATTGAGATAATTAAATATTGAAAGCTAAATTATTGAAATTCGTTTATCAGAACATTAGCCTCAAAATAAAACATTCAAATTGAGTTATCTTAATTATTCTATTCTAATTCGGAATAACGATATATAAAGCAACATTAATAATAATGTATTCTAAAATTTCAATATTATATAAAAAGGGTTTTTTGTGTTCAGTGCTGTTAGAGCATAATTTATCAAAAGAAATTTGAAGATTTGTCAAAATTTGAAAAGGTTCATTCAAAATTGTAATTTTTTATATCTTATACGGTGCATGGCATCGTGCCTTAAGGCAAATTGCTGGAACTTCCCGTACCGTAATCAAAAATCTTGGTACGGAACCCAAAAAAATTACACAAAACGTGTACACATTATTAAAATCTTTATAAAATATCTGATAATTTGATGTGCATATGTCCAATAAACATTTTTGACCGCCAAATGACATTTTTAACTTATTTTTATTGAGAGTCCATAACTGCTGAATTTGTTTTCCCAAAAATTTAATCAGTTTTTCATCTTGTCAATACAAGTAAAATGTTTCTTGAATTATTAAAATCGGACGTTCCGTTCTCTTAAAAACTAAGCTACCGTTTTTGGCACTTTTTGCCCCGTATCTTCGAAACGGCTAGACCTGCCTCCGCCAAAAACTAATCAGCACGTCCACGTATCAATACGAATCGAATGTTTCTTGAATTATTCAAATCGGTTGATCGGTGTTCCCGAAATCGTCGAAGAAAATTTGTATCCGACACACAACACACATACATCCATTTTTTCCAAGGTGTGCCAAAATGTTCAAAAACCTTTGAATAGTAAAAATATATAAAAAATTTCATTTTCGATTTTTTTGCGATTACTATAACTTACCCTTACCTTACGGGAAGTTAAAAAATTATAGTAAATTATATTTGATGACTTTCATAAAAAAATATTTGAAGATCTAACATATAGAGGCAGATAATTAATTTGTTAGAAGATTTATTTTCCAAATAAGTAATCAATTCTCGAAATTTAATATTAATCCGTTATCGTGATGACAGGGTTGTAGTCAGGACTGAAGTAAGGGTTGGCTACGAAGTGGAGCGCGGGAATTATGAAACAATAAAATCCGGAAAAGAATTTTCAGGATGTGAGCCCTAACAAGTGAATATAGGGAAAAAATACAAAAAGTTATTTTATAACTACAAAAATTATTTGTAGTTATAAAATAAATAAAAATGCATAATATATTTGCACATTTTAAAAAACACTTCAAAGAATTACTTAAAAACAAAGAAAATCCTAAGATTTTAAGAGTCTTTAAAATTAAGTTATAAGTGTTATTATTGAAATAATTAGGCGTTTAATTACTCTTATAATATTATTGAGTCCCGAAATATTTCAATGCACAGAACCTGCATAAAATTGAAAATACTATTAGGGTTCTGCATCATTAATCTAATCTAATTCTAGGCTTTGGCAGTTCAGAATTTAATTATTCGACTAATAATAGACAAAGCAAGATGAATTAAAATCTAAATCTTTCCATAATTAAGTAGACGAAATTTATAATTAATTCTGAATAACTAATGTTATGTATATCTTAACTGTTCATACCATAACTTCTTAAATTAATTTTATCAAAGCATTTTAAAAAACTAAAAAGATAGAAAGAAATTACAATTAAAAGAGGTCTATAGGTCTTCTGTAAGTTTTATTCATAGTTGATATTTTAAATATACATGCAATGTTGTATAAGTTACCTCGCATACAGAGTTTTCAAATAAATTAAGTTAAATGTTGAATAAATTAACTGAAGCATGCATATAACTGATAAAAACATTTATCACAATTGAGACATTAACAGTTTTTCAATTAATTATTAATTCGTTTAATTTATCGATTAATTAATAAGCCATTATTCAATTTAACAATAATTAATCATTATTTATCACGCACAGAAATAATAAGAAGAATAAGTTATCTCAATCCGTTTTAAATAGATTATATAAAAAGTAATTAATATTAATAATATAAAAATTCATAAATTAATCAATTTTAAGGGCAATTGTACTTGAATAAATTTTAATGCCCCCCTATATCTAGATATGAATGTGAATCTAATATTAAGACAAAATGCACAATAAATACATATTTTTTTAATTAATAAAATTATAGTCGAATATAAGAATAAAAATGCAATACGAAATCTTCCAATTTATGAGCTTCTTTCTAAAATAAAATTAATTTATACAAAACAAATTCACATCTTTATGCAAATATGCACAATTTAAAATAAAAACTATATAAATGTGAATAAACATGGGTCAAAATTTTGCAAAATGATTTTTATAATTTTTTATATGTAACAATGGAAAGGCCAGTAATATACAAATGGGCCAAGATTTTGAATAATAATTTTTTATAATGTTTCATGTCAACTTTAATATTCAAAAGCTTATAAGATCACTCTGTTATTGCTATTTTGATTGCTATTTAAATTTAAGAGAAAGAGCTTTTCAGTATGTCTAAGAGATCGTTGCTATAAAAATCCAGTGATCTTTGCATTCGAAACTTTGATTTGCTTATAAATTTTACGGAACCTAAATAATATTTGTCCTTTCTTATAAATGCGTTTTTTTTTTGGCAAAGTCACAGACTAGGGTTTATTAAAATATTCGGTGTTTTATTTCAAGCAAGGGGCGAGTTAGCGACACTCAAAGTTACCCTTGGTTCTATTGTGTGAAATACCGCGCATTTTTTTATAATATATCTAAAATACGGGCTAACGGTCTTCTAACTCAACAAAAGCTGCCGGTGAGTGAAGAACAATAACCATTTGTGCGATTTAAAATTTTATGCTCGAGCAAAGTTCAAACAAAGTATGGAAATAGAAGGAAACAGTTATTGTGAAAAACCTTTTAAAACAATTATTCCACAGTTGAATGAGAATCAGAAGTCTGAACAAATTTTCGAGCGATATTGTAATGCTAATCGTAAGTAAGGATCGAAGGTCGATTGTGGTAAAAAATAGAGCTAGGTAACGGACACCAAAATGATATAATCGTTTGTAAGATAATAACTAGTGTATACATCAGGATAATTTCTGCTTTGTGAGGTATAATTTTATGCAAACAGTATCAAATTCGGATGTTAGACGTAACATTTTCAATTCTAATGTTACGAGAACATAAAAACCAGTAGTATGATAATAATATATTATTGGGAAAACTAACAATAGAACAAGAACAATCAATTTATTTTGATATCTTGATATTTGAAATGCCTTATGCATAACTATGGTTTTGTTAAGTGCATATCTTTATATTTGATTATTCCAAAAAGTGCTTTTAAACACCTAAATATGTATTTTTATGTGTGACTTCAAAAATCCAAAAACTTATTAGCTTTCCTCTTAGATTTTGTAGTTATTTTTCATTAATAATAATTAAGGGTCATAAGAAAGTTATAAATAGAAAAAATAATAGATGAAAAAAGCCTAAGCTTACCCATGTTATCACTATTGACCTTTCAAATTTGGTTTTGTCCAATATTTCTTATCACTTCAGGTTTAGGAAATTTTGTTCATGAATATAAAAATCTTAAAAAATAGTATCCTTATTTAAATTTCCGTAATCACAAAATAAAATATTTTATCATACAAAATAATATTTCTGCCTTATTCGATTTCGGTGGTCTTTTCCCTGATCTTTAGTCGACGAATAAACTGAACACAATGCAAACAGTACGTAAAAATCATTAAGAACCGGCTGTGTCATTTTTTTTCGAATGATTTATTATCGAATAGCGACATTCCGTATTTTGATATCTCACGATCATGTTTAATCTTATAGCAGTGATAGCCAAGATAACCACAGAACAACTTTTACAATCATTAACCATACTATATTCAATATTTAAATGACTGCTGCTGTGATTGCTATGCTATTAAGGTAAAGTTTTGAGTTTTTTTTAAAAAAAAACATCCGTTATATTTTTCTCAATCACACAAGGTAGAATATGAGATGAGGTATCTACTATTCTACCATATCGTTGCCCTTCAGCAGTTTCATCCATTAGTTTACCCCACAATGAGTTACACGCAGTTAACTTCCAAAGAATATGTCAATAAACTTTGAAATTAATACCCGGCAATTATTTGACAACCGTATAAGTTATTTGGGAAAGTTGTTGTTCATATTTTCCCTACATTTCATTACACCTTAAAATAGATGTTTTTAAGCTTCTGTAACTGGAGGGTCTGGAAAGAACCCTACATTGTTCGAAGAACTTGTGAACCCCAGCATGAAAGCAGGGAACTTTAATTGATGTCATCGGATAAAACCTGCATTTTATTATTATCTATAAAAATATCGATATAAAACTAGTAGCTTTCCTGGCGGAATAGATCTGGGTTGACCCCATTCTACCATGGTTCTCTACCATATGAACAAAATTATTAGGAATAATTGGAGGTTCATATACTGTTTTGACCCAGTGGTGAACAATTTGTTTTGCAAAATTATTTTTATGAACATATAAATTAACAAATGAACATATAAATTAACAGTA